GCGCTTTCGTTACGGGAGGAAACAAAACGAGCTTCGGGCTACAAAAAAGATTTGTTGCACATTTCACGGGCCAAAACAAGCAAAGCTGTCACGCAAAATTTTTCGCTGTTATAACTCTTGTGTCTTTTTTCTCCTGCGTTATAAACCCTCCCCCAAATTGACGTCAACTTTTCGGGAAAAAAGGTGTGTTCATTATGCAAGTAAATAGAGTAGTTTGGTTTATGAAACATTTTTAATATTGTCTCAAAGTAGAAGTGATGCTATATGGAAAGGCCGCAGTAGAAGGCTGTGGACCATACTACCACGGCCATGTGATAAAAAAAAAGGTGGGGCCTGTTGCATGCCGTCGAAGCGGCGTCTCGGGTCTAGTTCACCTCGCGCCTGCTCTGGCGCCAAATCGTCCCCGAAGTGCTTCCACACACATTGGTACAGGTGATCACAGGTTCGATACGTGCACGCCACCGCCCTTGCACTTTGTCCCTGGCACTTCTGTAGCCCATTGTTCGGTGCAACCGATCCAGTACATCAATGATTGGCACATGTCTCCTCGGAAGTCGGATGTTTGGCGCACACCTGATCGCCCGCCTCTATGCATTCACTGCGGAGAAGCTGATCACTTGTACCGCCAGTGCCCATATTGCCGCCTTGGGCTTCGGGGTTTCTCTGCATATTTGCCGCCACCCCGTTACAGCCAACAACCATGAGACATTGAAAACTATTTCTCCCAGCAGCATGCACCACCGTCCGCCGGGCGCCAGCGTGCTCGCCATCGCAGGGGCCATTTTCATCACCGCCCCAGCGGTATTCTACCGCACGATCTCCCAGCCCCCGCCGAGAAAACTAACCAAAGCGGCCTCTGGGGGCGGGTTCGCTGAACGTCGAAGCGCTGAAGACCTCTTATTGACGCAGAACCTTGCAGAAACTGATCCGACATCACCTTCTGCTGCACAGGATAGCCGGCTTTTACTCGACATAGCAGTGACAATCGATGGTTGTGCGTTAGTGGACACCAGCGCAGACTATCCCATACTGAGCGGGAAACTCGCAACAAAGCTGAAGAAAGTAATCGCGCTGTGGCATAACTCACAGAGTCGGACAGATGGTGGTCACGTCGTTACTCCACTAGGTGCCTGCGCAACTAGAGTAGAGATTAAGAGTATACATTCGTAGCAAGCTGCCTTGTTCTATGCGAATGCTCCCGTGACGTCATTCTGAGAATTGATTTTCTTCAGGAAAATGGAGCTATCATTTATATGCAAGAGCGCTGCGTCACATTCTCAGCCCAATGAGCAATCAACGTGCAGGATGACGAATGGCATGTCGACGTACTTCGCATTTCTAAACAAAGCGGGAAAAGGCATGTCGACGTACTTCGCATTTCTAAACAAAGTGGGACGCTTCCTCCACGAGCAAATGTTCTAGTCGACGTCACATGCTGTTGTTTGGGTAATGGCGAAGTTGTGGCCGAGACAAACTTAGAACACAACATCTTGCAGCAAGGCATTTGTGTAGCTAAAAGTGTAATACACCTTCGTGATGGCCGATCTGAACTGCTCGTCACCAACTTTTGCCACGAGCATCGACTCCTTTTCCGTGGCACTTCGGTAGTGTTTGCCCACGAAGTAGTAAGCAACTGTCCCACGTCAGAACTAGTGGATACCGCACACAAATCAATGAGTAATATTGACATGTATTCTGATCCGTCTATCGATAACCAGACTTCCCTGCGAGCACTCTTGTTCGAGTTGAGGTCTTGCTTCGCAAGTTCCTTAAAAATCTGTCAGACGTCCATCACTCAACACAGGATCATCACGTACGAGGATGCACACCCGATACACCAGCACCCTTACCGCGTGTCAGCTATAGAACGTAAAGGGATACGTACCTAAGTCCGCGAGATGCTTGACGATGGTGTTATTGAACCATCCAACAGCCTGTAGTCATCTGCAGTCGTCCTTATCAAAAAAAAAAAGAAGACGGGTCGCTACGCTTCTGCGTCGACTACTGAAAGCTTAACAACGTGACCAAAAAGATTGTGTACCCGCTGCTGCGTATCGACGATTCACTGGATAGACTTCGTCGTGCCCATTATTTCACTTCTCTCGATCTCAAAAGTGGGTACTGGCTAATCGAGGTAGTCAGCGAGACCGCAAGAAAACAGCCTTCGTGACTCCAGACAGCCTATACCAATCTCGCGTACTTCCTTTTGACCTGTGTTCAGCGCCGGCAACTTTTTTCCAGCGAATGATGGACACTGTCCTCACAGGGCTCAAGTGGCAGACTTGTCTTGTCTACCTTGATGATGTGGTGGTCTTTTCTGCCACGTTCAAGCAGCATCTTCATTGCCTGCGCAGCGTGTTGGAGGCTATCCGATCATCAGACCTCACACTAAAGCCACAGAAGTGCCACTTCGGCTATGAAAAGCTCAAATTTCTTGGAAATGTAGTTAGCGCTGAAGTGGTCCAGCCCGATTCAGACAAGCTTGCCGCTGTTGCCGAATCACCAGCTCCTGCTGATAAAAAAGCCGTCCGGCCCTTCCTTGGTTTGTGCACCTACTATCACCGGTTCATTCATGGCTTTTCACAGATAGCAGAACACCTGACTCGTCTCACAAGGGACAAAACGCCGTTTGTCTGGGAGAACAAGCAACAAGCAGCTTTTGATGAGCTGCGACAGCACATGCAATCAGCGCCTGTTCTCGCTCATTTCAACGATGATGCTGACACGGAGGTCCATACTGATGCTAGTAACATTGGTCTCGTTGCTGTGCTCGTTCAGCGTCAAGATCACACCGAAAGAGTGATAGCTTACACCAGCCTCTCTCTATCCCGTGCCGAGGGGAATTATTCCACTACAGAGAAAAAATGCCTCGCAGTCATGTGGGCGATCGCCAAGTTTCGCCCGTACCTTTATAGTCATCCCTTCAAGATAGTGACCGACCACCACGCCCTCTGTTGGTTGGCAAGCCTGAGCGTCGCTTCAGGACTAGCACGGTGGAGCTTGCGGTTGCAGAAATTTGACATCACCATCATTCATAAATCAGGCCGTGAGCATTAAGACGCTGACAGACTTTCACGCGCATCTCTTCATGTTATCAGTCAGGAAGCAGAGGACGAGGAAGGTTTCCTGGGCGCCATTAGCTCATCAGACTTGAGCAAATGGCAGCGAGATGACGCAGAGATTCGTCTAATCATCGATCGTTTAGAGGGCCAGGACGCAATCATATCAAGTCGTTTATCGTGCTCATTGACGTCGTTCTGCCTGCGAGACGGTGTGCTGTACAAGAAGAACGCCCGTTCGAACTACTGTGCTTACCTCCTTGTGGTTCCTCGAGACATGCAAGACGACGTCCTCTTAGCTTGTCATGATGAACCCACATCCGGTCATCTGGGCTACTCACGGACACTTGCCAGAGTGAGTAAGAAGTACTATTGCCACAAACTTTCGGCAAGGGTCAAGAAGTTCGTCGAGGGCTGTTGGGAATGTTAGCGCCAAAAGCAACCAGCTAGTTTACTTCAGCTCATCGAAGCACCTTGTACACCGCTCGACCAAGTCGGCGTGGACATCCTCAGGCCATTTTCCCTGTCTGCAGACTGCAACAAATGGGTCATCATTGCTACCGACTATTTGACACGCTACGCTGAGACGCAGGCGATCTCACGAGCCACGGCTTCTGAGGTAGCACATTTTTTCATGCGGCACATCGTTTTACGACACGGAGCTCTTTCCAGTATAATAACTGACAGAGGGACGGCTTTCACAGTGCAGCTTATGGACGAAGTTTTCAAACTAAGCAACACCAGACACTGAAAGACAACTGCGTACCACCTGCAAAGCAACGGACTTACCGAGCGACTGAATAAGACCCTCGCAGACATGATCGCAATGTACATCGACGGACAGCAGAAAACATGGGACCGGATCTTACGTAACCTTCGCGTATAATACCGCCGTGCAAGAGACCAGGCGATTTACGCCATTTTGGCTTCTTTACGGCCGCGAAGTGCAGATCTGCAAACTGTGCTGGACTCTATCCTACCAAGTCAAGACAACGACGATGAGTTGGCAACTGACGCCAAAGAATTCGCAGAGCGCGCTGAGGAAGCCCAGCAGCTTGCCCGACTGCACATCGGCCAGCGACTGGTCGATGTGCAGTCGCGCGAGCTGCCGGGCTTCCTCAGCACGCTCTGCGAATTCCTCAGCTCGCTCTGCACACTCTGCGATAGTGCCTGTAGAGCACAAGAGTACAGATAGAAAAGGGCATAATGCAGTCGACCAGACTGTGCATGTGCACTGGCCCATCTCAACACAGCACTTGGACTATGCAGGTTGCGGACCATGAGCTTGTATTGCATGCCATCCAACACTCTTCACAGAGTTAGACTGTTTAACTACTTTCTATAAATGTGGAGACTGCCCTCCAGTCTGCCAGCCACCCGTCCACTTGCCAATCCAAACAGTGGTAGCGAAGGCGTATATTGCCTTTCATAATCAATGCACCATGATTTTTCTGTACATGAATGTATGATGCAAGTTGCACTGCAGTAAAAATGATTATCATTTCGAGCAATCACTTCCCAAACAATATTCACTAATTCGTCATCCTGATAATCGAGGAGGAGGAGGATGGTTTTTAAGGAGCAAACATTTTGTTTTGTACAGTTACTCACCCAATCCTGTCAGTTAAGGCTCACTTGTTTCAAAGTGAAGTTGCAAAGTAGCTCTTTATGCTAATGGAAGTGCAACATTGGATAGGTTTAGTACAGCTTATGCAACTATACTGCAAAAAGTGCGTTCATTTTCATCCTGATTATGCTTTTTAGCATTTCACTGGTCATATAGTAATATCATGAGTACAACTAAATGCCAGTTTTTGTAGTTGAAGAGGAATGTGCATCTAATATTAGCTTACTTGAGCAGTAGAGTAATGCAGTCAGTGCATGGCTCTACACATTCCTCTTGATATGTGTGCCACTTTTTTTTTTTAATTTTTTTCCCAGGTGAAGCATGGCAAGGATGCTTTTTTGATCCTCACAACTGATGGTGTGAATTGTGCCATGTCAGACCAGGAGATTGTCGATGCCATCAACAGCTGCAGTTCACCAGCTGAAGCAGCGGGCTTTGTCACGGACCAAGCCATGCACTTCGCTTCCCAGGACAATGCTACAGCAGTTGTCATGCCGTTTGGTGCATGGGGAAAGTATCGCAACAGTGGTGGCGTGGCAAACAGTTTTGGTCGGCAGTTGCAGTTTAGTCGGAGGTTTTAGCCTTTGGTGTTCATCATAGCTCGGCATACTCACTCATGAGTACACTCACTCACACTCATTCATACTCATTTGAATGTCGTGAGTGTGAGTACTGATGAGTATGAGTAGGAGACAGTAGAACGTGAGTGAGTACTTATGAGTATGAGTAGGAGTGAGAATGGACGCGAATGAGTACTTTCAGTGTGAGTAGAAGTGAGTATGAACGTGAGTGGGTGCTCATGAGAGTGAGTAGGAGTGAGTATGAATGTGAGTGAGTACACTGAGTGTGAGTAGAATTGAGTATGAACGTGAGTATTGTGAATGTGAGTAAGAGTGAGTATGAACGTGAGTGAGTACTTTGAGTGTGAGTATGAGTGAGTATGAACGTGAGTGAGTACTCATGAGTGAGAGTAGATGTGAATTTGAACGTGAGTGAGCACTCATCAGTGTGAGTATCCGGGAGTATGAACGTGAGTGAGTATTTATCAGTGTGAGTAGGAATGAGTGAGAGCTTGTGAGTGTGAGTAGGAGTGAGTATGAACGTGAGTGAGTACCTTGAGTGTGAGAAGGAGAGAGTATGAACGTGAGTGAGAATGTGAGTGAGAACGTGAGTGAGTAGGAGTTTGAACATGAGTGAGTACTGATGAGTGTGAGTATTCGTTAGTATGAACGTGAGTGAGTATTCATGAGTGTGATTAGGAGTAAGTAGGAACGTGGGTGAGTAATCGTGAGTGTGAGTAGACTTGACTGCGAAGGTCAGTGAGTTGCTGTGAGTGTAAGTAGCAACGAGTAGGAACATGAGTGAGTTACTATGAGTGTGATAAATATTTGTAACCATCGCAACGGCGTCCTCAATATGTTGGAAATAACGGGCACTATGGCATGCAAGCTTACTAAACGTAAAAGCCTTCAGTTAGTTTGGAAACTGGGGGAGCCATCGTACATCAGATAAGGGGGGGAGCGAGGTGACCGCGCAAAACTCGAGTTGAGGGTAGCCGTCCATTTTATTGTAATTTGAATTTTCTAGGCTGAATAACTTTGAATTGCCTGTCCCTATAGCTACCGTTCTTGCTGCACTTACCTCTTGCGCCTTCAGTCTACGCGACCCGCTGATAATACATGTAAAACAAGGTCTTGAGAAGCCCTTTAACAAAAATCGCCGCGCGAGCTAGTTCGGAAAAAAGAAATGCACTGCGCAAGCGACAAAAAAAAATGCTGGAATGGCCCGCGAGAGAAAGCACATTGTGTGCGCGACGCACATTGTGTGCAGCGATTTTGCAGTTTTTATCTCTGTGTCGTCCCTCAAGTGAAGGTTGCCTTGAACGAAAACCTTAAGTGATCTCATGACCTCTCAAGCACGAACCTGTGTGCAAACTTCGCCTTCTCAGTGCCCCATTAAGAAAAAAAAAGGAAAGCTTGGAGGACTGTTGAGCTTCGCCGTCAATAGTATAGTATGCGGTAGCGTAATCGGACCCTGTTCGTATCGCTGTTTCAATCTCTACCCTCGCTACAGTTTTCGGCAGGTTATTATGCCTTCAACAGCGCAGACAAAATATGCAATAAGAGCCTAATCACCCTTGATAATTTATTCTATCATTCACATAACACGGGCTAATACAAAAACACACATAACGCTACTCACTAATCACCGTTTCATTCGGCTGTCCGCGATAACCCTGCGTACGCACGCTGCCAATGAACGTTAACCGCGTCCGCAAATCCATAAATAAGGCCCCCTGCAATCGTCAGTGCCGGCACGGAGCCAACGAAGTCTCCGCGTGAGCGCGACCCACAGAGGAAGGAAAACATCTCCGAAGATGTGCACAATTTCTCGAATGCAAAACTGCCGTACGCAACGCATTCCATCTGAAGGCGAGGCAGAGAGGGGAGGCGGCGTCTTGACGGTCGCGCCAGGCCACAGAACACCTACCAGGGGCCGGGCGGCCGGGGTGGCCGCGGCGCCCGCCTGTCCCGCTAGTGCAGTCAGAAGGGGCTAGGGGCAGTCGAACGAACGAAGCGGCCGAGCCGGATGGCATGGCAACGTCTTGGGTTCTGGCGGGTAATCAGCGGCGGCCGTGTAGTATACTGAAGCTGTCGAGAGCGTCTCTATTTCGCGCGCGTGCGTCGTAGCCTATGAAAGCGCGTTTTGAGTGCTTGTAACATGTTACTGAGATTCTAAACGATGTCTCAGCGTCTCCTGCGTGTCATGGCATACAAATGAATGTGCAGGTGCGTCTAATTGCGCTGAGTCATTGCCTGTTTGTGGAACCTACCGACCCTTAAAGTAAGTGACAATTGTTCAGCTCGATTGTTTATTGAGTAACCTGAGTACACGTAACGCTACCTCAATGTTAATATTCATCATCGGCCTGACAACGTCCACTGCAGGACAAAGGCCTCTCCCATTATCCGCCACTCAACTCGGTCCTGTGCTTGCTGCTGCCATTATGTACCCGCGAACTTCATAATCTCATCTGCCCACCGAACTTACTGTCTCCCCCTAACCCGTTTGCTTTCTCTGGAAATCCGGTCAGTTATGCTTAATGACCAGCTGTTATCCTGCCTACGCGCTACATGCCCGGCCCATGTTCATTTCTTCTTCTTGATTTCAACTATGATATCCTTAATCCCGGTTTGTTCCCTGATCCACTCTGCTCTCTTCTTGACTCTTAAGGTTACAACTACTATTTTCCTTTCCATCGCTCTCTGCGTCGTCCTCAATTTAAGCTCAACCCTCTTTGTAAGCCTCCAGGTTTCTGCTCAGTGGGTAAGTACCGGCAAGATGCAGCTGTTATATACTTTCGTCTTGAGGGGATAGTGACAATCTACCAGCCATGAGCTGAGAATGCTTGCCGAATCTTCTCCACCCCACTCTTATTCTACTAAATACTTCAGTCTCGTGGCTCGGCTCCGTAGGTACTACCTGTCCCAAGTAGACGTATATACCTTTTCCAACTTCAAGTGCACTGCCACCTATCTCGAAGCGCTGTTTTCTTTCGAGATTGTTGTTCATTACTTTCGTTTTCTGCCGGTTATTTTGTAGATTCCAAGAGAAGGAAAGCGGGAAAAGGGGAGACAAAGTTTGGTGGGCAGATGAGATTAGGAAGTTTGCGGGTATGAAGTGGCAACAGCAAGCAAAGGACTGAGTTGACTGGTGGAACAGGGGAGAGGCCTTTGTCCTGCTGTGATGATGATAAGTATGTGAATGTAAAAGTACGTGGATGAGTGCGCCTGAGTATGGGTAGGCGTAAATATGAAGGTGAATTCTTATGTGAGTGCGGAGGTGAGTGAGGGCCTATGATCTTGAGCAAGCATGAGTATGAAGGTGAGTGAGTAACTATGAGTCTTAATTGAGGTGCACGAAAAATTGAAGTACAAAATGGAGACACCTGGACACGGGACGCTATCTCGAGGTGTCTTCCTTTTGTATTTCAATTTTTTGCGCACCTCAGTTAAAATGAATTACAATCTCGCCCAGCAGTCCGTATTTCTCTAAGAGTGTGAGTAGTCGTGAGTATGAACGTGAGCCATGAACAATGAGTGTGAGTAGGCGTGAGTATGAACGTGAGTGACTGTGAGTAGGCGTGAGTATGAACATGAGTGAGTACTCATCAGTGTGAGTAGTCGTGAGTATGAACGTGAGTGAGGGTCTAGAGTGTGAGTTGGCGTAAGTTTGAAAGTGAGTGAGTACTCATGAGTGTGAGTAGGAGTGTATAAACATGAGGGAGTACTCTAAGTATGAGTGTAAGTGAGTATGAACGTGAGTGAGTACTCATGAGTATGAGTAAGAGTGAGTATGAACGTGAATGAGTAATTTCAGTGTGAGTAGAAGTGAGTTTGAACGTGAGTGAGTACTCATGAGTGTGAGTAGGAGCGAGTATGAACGTGAGTGAGTACTTTGAGTGTGAGAAGGAGTGAGTATGAACGTGAGTGAGTAGGGGTGAGTGTGGGTAGGTGTGAGTGAGTATTTTGAGTGTGAGAAAGAGTGAGTATGAACGTGAGTGGGGGTAGGTGTGAGTATGAATGTGAGTATTTTGAGTGTGAGAAAGAGTGAGTATGAACTTGAGTGAGTACTCTGAGTGTGACAAGGAGGGAGTATGAACGTTAGTGAGTACTCATGAGTGCGAGTAGGCGTGAGTATGAACGTGAGTATGAACGTGAGTGAGGGCCTATAAGTGGGAGTAGACGTGAGTATGAACGTGAGTGAGGGTGAAGGCTGAAAAAATTGTGGTGAGTGAGTATGAGTGAGTAGTCTCTCAAAGTGCCGACCTATGGTGTTCTCAATAAAAGCTTCCTGTAGGGTGTCTGTGGTTGCTCAGGGTTTCGGCTAGATGCTCACAGAAATGTGTTCAAGGTAACTTCACATCCTGCCTTCATCTGAAGAATAGCTTACTTATTTGTGTGTCAAGTGCAATTTGCAAGGGATCATGAATGCTAATATTAGAGTTTTGAGGGCTTGTAAGTGCCACTTCTCTGATCATTGCGAGATTTCGTCAGCTTACAAACAAGGGTATATGTAGGATGACCTTAAAGCTATAAGCATGCTTGTACTTTTGTAATTGCGTAGTGGTTGCCTGTTGATTAAGAATACCTTTGTTTCACTCTAGATAACTTTTTTTGAAAAGTAGATGGCACATTCAAACTGCTTTGAAACTTCCTTGCTGAAGGAAGGAGTTGGCTGTTCACCTTGCGTGGTAGTCTCTATGAACAATTTTGATTTTCTGGCCAACTTGCCAATGTTCCTGTTATTGATCTTGTTCACTGTTGTTTACGAGGCACTGAAAAGTCAAGCATGGGCCTTAAAATACTTACAGCATCATCACGGTGCTTTGCTGAATCTATGTGCAATATCTGATATGTGTGTTGTATTAGCGGTCTCCTTATAGTGAATTATATAATAACGCTATATACTTGTCCATAATTTTCTGTGGCTGTGAAGGAATAGCTGTGGATTCAAAGTATGCACAAGCATAATTAAGTGCTTCTGAAAAAAAAAAAAAAATTATCTGTATCGATTTAAGCTGGGGATGAAAGAATGGGTGTCTTAAAAGCAAAATAAGACAAAACACAACACTGAGTGTCATATTTCATTCATATATCTCTTTTTGTCATCTGTAAACTAGAAAAAATTGTTATTCTGTGGCATGTAAAAGGTACACCGACTCATTGTCTGCTCC